AACTAAAGATGCTCCTTAGAAGCAAGGATAATGAAAATTTATTTCATGTACGTTTGGTATATTCTCAGGAAGTGGCAGACCTTGGAAAAAGACAGGCTGGGAAAAAATAGAGTCAGGTATAGAGAGGAGTCAGACACACCAACTCATACTGACCAGTGATGTTCTCCAGCTTTTCAAGTGCTTGGTGGTCATTTGAACATCCTGTATAGTCAACTACCTATTTCTCTTTAAAAACACCTTTTTAAAATGTTGGCCTTTGAGCCAAATGTTTAAGAATAGAAACCAAGTTTGGACAATGCTTGGCATTTAACTTGAACTGCCAGAATTTCAAGATGAGTTTAGAGGCCGTGACATCTAGGACATTATTGCTGATGTCAAATGGATCTTACTGGAAAGCAGAGAATACCTGGAAATTATATATTTGTGTTTTATTGACTATGTGACTATGTGCAGGTATTTGATTGTGTGAAGGTCAACAAACTAGGCTAACATTGAGAAGAGTGAAAATCTCAGAACTCTTAGTTGTGTTTGTGCGAAACCTATACTTAGACCGAGAAGCTGTGTCCGAAGAGTACAGGAACACTACTTCGTTTAAAATCATGAAAGGTGTGAGTCAGGGCTATATCCTTTTTCCATATCTTACTCAATTTGTATGCTGAACAAATAATTTGAGACATTGGACTTTATGGAGAAGAATGTGACATCAGGATTGGAGGAAGATTCATCAACAACCAGCATTATACCGATGAGATCACCTTGTTTGCTGAAAGTGAGGCAGACTTGAAGGGCTTGCTGCAGAAGATCAAAGACAACACCTTCAATATGGATTACATCTCGTCATCAAGAAGACAAAATTTCTCACTACTCACACAACGAATAAGTAACATCACTATAGAGGAAGATTGAGAATTATTTCATCTTACGTGACTTCACAATCAACGCCTTTGGTACCAGTACTCACGTGCTCAGGAGAACTATTACATTGGGAAACTCTGCTGTTAGGGACCTATGCAAAGTCCTGAACAGCAATGCTGTCATTTTAAGGGCAGCAGTGTTCCTGATGCAGTCATGGCCTTTTCGGTCACCTGCTGTGCACCTGAGAACTGGACAGTGAATAAAGATGAAAGAATAAAAATTCATGCCTTTGAATTGTGGCACTGGAAAAGAGTACTGACGATCCCTTGGACAGCCAAAAGAATAAATAGCTATGTCTCGGAGAAGGTGCAGCCAGAGAGTGCTCCTAAGAGGCAGAGCTGGTGAAGCTTCATCTCACATTCAATGGCTATATAGTTAGAAGAGGCTATTCTTTGGAAAGGTGGAGTGTTCATGAAAGAGAAGGTGACCCTTAATGAGGTTATCTGACACAGTGACTGTGACAGTAGAGTCAAGTATGCCAGAGATGATGAGGATGGCACAGGATAGAACAGAATTCACATCTAGAGTAGCTAGTACACAGAGTAGCTCTGTCCTTGACTCAGCAGCACCCAACAACAGCAAACATGACAGAGATTTATTACTTGATTGTATAATCCATGAATCGGGCAACTCATGCTATCAGACTGAATCTCAAAAATACGGTCCAAAAAAATACGATCTCAAAAATCTTACAAAAGCTGTATAAGTACTTTTATAATCTGAGGAACACAGAATGTTAGAGAAGTCCAGGTAGTTTCAATCAGGCCTTGAGATAATCATCAAAATGTCCATAAAAGGCTTTTCTTCCTTAGATTTGTGTTTGATTAAGTAAACAAATGACATGAGTCTTAGAGGTCATGTCCTGCCCATGGAGTAGGAGCTGAAATGTAAGAGGTAAAGATGCAGTGTTAATTACTTTCTAAGAATTCAGGCTATTTTCTTGAAATTCTGCATCAGTCATTTCTTTTTGGTATAGTGCCTCTGTATACTCCCTCCATCTTCTTTTTATACTTCCTGGGTCATTCAGCATCCTGCCTTTGGTATTCTTAAATATAACAACTCGAGGCTTGAATCTGTTCTTCAGTTCCTTCAGCTTAAGAAATGCCTAGCAGGTTCATCCCTTTTGATTTTCTGACTCTAATTTCTTGCTCATTTCATGATAATATTTGGCTTTAGCTTCCTGTGCTGCTTTAAAAAAATCTTCTGTTCAGCTCTTTAACATCTTAATTTTTTCCCTTTGCTTTGGCTTCTTGACATTGTAATGCAATATTGAGTTTATTCTGACATCATCGTGGCTTTTGCTTTCTCCTGTCTTTCCAGTGACTTTTATACATTCCTTATGAATGATATTCTTGATATCCTCCCACAGCTGCTTTAGTCTTTGCTCATTAGTCAGGGACCTCTCTAGAGCATTAAAGAGCAACGATGTCAGTTTGGAGACTAAGGTGCATTTGATCCAAGCCATGGCCTTCACAATTACTTGCTATGGATGAGAGTGCTGGACATTATCTAAGGAAGATAGAAGAAGGATCGGTGCTTTTGAGTTGTGGTGCTAGAGAAGAGAATTGAATATACTGTGGACTGCCAGGATAAAAAAAACCCAACAAACCAACAACCCAAAAATCAACCAAAGAAACAAACAAAAAAAGCCAACAACCCAAAACCCCCAGGTCTGTCCTGGAGAGGTTGAAACCAGTGTGCTCCCTGGAGGCAATGATTTTGAGGTTCCATCTCACATACTATGGGCATGTGGCCAGGAGGGACCAGTGACTGGAGAAATGGGATTAGGTCTCTCAGAGACAATGACATTGGCTTAGGATAAGGCAAGGTTCAGAGCTGTTGTATGTAGGGTCACTATGAGTTGCAGGCAACTTGATTGCATATAACAACAGTAACAACATCATCTTTCTTCCTTTTTTTAAAACGTTTATTCTTTGAAACCAACCTTCAGCCATGGAAGAAATGTCCTCAGTATATGCATTTTATTTTTATTTTCACAATGCTTTTAAAGTGAAAACTCTATAACTCATAAGCTATGACCACAAGACTGCTGCGTAACGAGCAAGCAGAGATCTCAATGGCAGGTAGCAGTAAGCCGTGTGAATTTATTTTCCTTCTCAAGTTTGCAGGTCAGCGTGGGAAGGTCTGCTTCATTCTTTACGTGAGCTGGGACAGTTGTACTTCCTGTGTCTGTTACCTTTCTCTAGGGCATTTTCCTCTCAAATCTCCCTGCTGCATGTATTTCTCGGCTTTGCAGAAGCTTGGCTTTCATAAGCACTTTTAATCACTGAGAGAAGAGTCTTTGCTTTCTTCAGCAGATCAATTATTGATACTGACATATTTAGGCTTTTCTAACTCAGCTGTTTTCCTTTCTATTTAGAGCTTTTTTCCTGAAATATGAAAGACGGACAATCTTTTCCTGTTACACTTTACAGGCTCAGAAGGCCAGTCGAGAGTTGCTATGGGTTGGAACCTATTCTATGTCAGTAAATGAGATGATGGGGTGAGATAGATATTGATGTGAAACAGACAGCAGAAGCATTGAACTTCAGGGATAGCTAGTGATAACATCTTAAATATAATTTAAGATTTGGCAAGTGGTACAGAGCAGTATTTCTGAAAGTGTGATCCCTAAACTCTCAGAATCACATGGAACCTTGTTAGAAATAGACATTCTTAGTCCTCATCCCAAACTAAATCGGAATTTCTGGGGTTGGCCCATAATCCTGGCTTTAACATGATCTCCAGATATGGGCACGTTGCAAGGAGGGACCAGCCCTTGGAGAGGAACATCATACTTGGAAGAGTGGAGGGACAGTGCAAGAGAGGAAGACCCTGGATGAAATGGATTGACTCAGTGACAAGGGTAATGAGGGGAGGTGTGTCAGAGATAATGAGATAGGCTCAAGATAGAGCAGGGCTCAGAGCTGTTTTACTTAGGTCGCTGTGAGTTGCAAGTGACTTGATGGTACAGAGTAACAATAACCACCAGGTAATTCTGATTCAAATTGAAGGCTGTGACTTAGTTGGGTAGGTGATGGAAAAATAAACAGGCGTGGGAGTTACATAGTGTCTGGGAGAGGGACCCACCTTTGAGACCTCTACAGAAGAAAACAGAGAATGATACTCCATGAAGATATTCAGTATTCCTGGAGAGGCAAGTGTGAAGTGATCAGGAGACAGATCTTCCGGGTTTTGTCAACCACATGAGACTGTTTATATTTCATTTATCTGAAACATACATTTCTACAGCTGTCTTTCCAAAGAGAAAGCAGTCTCCTCAAAGAGATTGGGAGTCCCGCATTATATTTCTGTGCTGTTCCATACCCTTGAACTATGTTGGCATATAAAACCCAATCCAAGCCAAGCCTGTATTGCCCTCCCGTCAACGCTGATGTATGGTGACCTGTGTGTTACAGAGTAGAACTGCTTCATAGGGTTTCTTGTTTCTCATCTCTAATCAATGGAGGCAGATCACAAGGGCCCCACTGTGTGAGTTAAATTGCAGACTGTATTCCTTGCAGCAAATTATAGGTTCCTTCTACCACCCAGGGGCCTGATCTTGATGCAAAGCTGGTGTTTAGTAAATGTGTATTGATTGATCTCACTGGATTCTGAAAAGAACCTTCACCATGCAGACATTTCCATTCTTATTTTCTGTGTGAGGACAACCAAGCATAGAGAGTGGTTTACCCAAAACTGACAGGGTAAATGACTTTTTTGGAAGCAGAAGGTTTGCACAAGCACCAGCTTTTGTATTTTGCCTCTACAATTCCCTCTTTATTCTAAACTACTTTTCTGTTAGGTAATGCTGAGATTACTGCATATTTGTATTCATACATGTTGTTGTCAGTTGATGTCTAGTTGATCACAATTCATAGCGACCTTATGAACAAAAGACCTGAAGCCTTACTATAACTATCATTGTTTCTCAACGTTCACAGAGTTTCCAGAGGCATATAGTTCAGGAAGTAGATGCCACCCCTGCTTCCAAGCATTCATGCATGGGCGATAGAATTTTAAAAACTGTATACTTTCCTAATGCAAATGTGCTTCCTTTTCTTTTCTTTCTTTGTTTTTTCCAGACAGAAAAGGGGAGTGCACTTCATGAAGCAGCCTTGTTTGGAAAAGTGGATGTGGTGCGAGTTCTGCTAGAAACGGGTAACGTATCTGGGTTCTTTACAGACTCCATCCTGCCAAATACAATCTCTCTTTCAGGAACAGTCTGAGGAAAATGACTCCATTTTCTTCACAAATCCCTCACTTCTTGCTTTCATGCCAAATTGTAGGTATATATTCCTATTAAGCCATCCTTTGTCCACCAGTTTTTCGTACTGTGGTTGCTTATACCTCTGATTCTGGAAGCTGTGACAGCAGTATTTCAAGAACAAGTGGGGCCACCTAGTGTGTGCAGGTTTCAGAAGAGCTGTCAGATGAAGAAAGACTAGGAACAACGGCCTGGCAATCTACTTCTCCAAAAATTGGTCAGAGAAGAACCTTTATAAATAGCTGCAGAACATCGTCTGTTATTATTCTAAAGATGAGCCATTCAAGATGGAAGATGTAGAAAATATGACCGTGGAAGAACTGTCTCCTTGAAGCAGAGTCAGCCTATTGACTTGGTTAAAGTAAAAGTTTTGGGACCTCATAACTGATGTGATGCAACTCAAAGAGAAGAAGCAGCTGCAAACATCTGTTAATAATTAGAATATGGAACACTTGAAGTATGACTCCAGGAAAATTGGCAATTGTAAGAAAAAAAAAAGGAAAACACATGAAAACCTGCTGATGTAGGCACTGATTAGTGAGCTGAAAAGTACTGATATTGGCTATTTTGAATCAGACAAACTTGGTCTACTATTCTGAAAATGAAAAAGAGAAATGGAATACTATTAAATGTCAGAAAAACCCAACAGTTCAGTAGCTAACCTGAAGAACAGTGTTGTCAATAATAGGATAATAATATTCATACACCAAAAAAATATCAGCTAATTCAACTGCTCTTCAAGATTATGAGCTAACAACCTAAAATGACAAGTTGGTTTCAACCTCTTTAGGACAGACCTGTTTGGTCTCTTGGCAGTCCATTTTATGCTCAGCACTCTTCTCCAGCACCACTACTCAAAAAAAATTGATTCTTCTGTCATCCTTATTCATTGTCCAGCTCTGTGATGCAATGCAAGTAATTACGAAGACCATGGCTTGGATCAGGTGCACCATAGTTTCTCATCTGACATCTTTGCACTTCAGCTCTCTGGAGAGATCCCTGAAAGTCGACTTTACTAATCCAGTTTATCTATTGATTTCCTGGCTGCTGATTCCAAGAGTGTTAATTATGGACATGAGCAAGCTGAAATTATTAACAACCTCAGTCTCTTCTCCATCTATCATGGTACTTCCAATTGACCCATTAGTGAGAATATTTGTCGTCTTGATGTTCAGTTTCAATTCCTATTGAAGGCTGCTTGCTTTGGCTTTCTGTAGCAGATGATTCAGGTTCTCCTCAATGTCAGTGATCAAGGTTGTGTCATCTACATGATGTAGGTTGTTGATGAGTCTTCCTCCAATTCTGATGCCACTTCATCCTTATAAAGACCAGACCAGCCTTCAGAATCCTGGAGAGTGTGAAACCAAGTTGCTCTCTGGAGGTAAGGATTTTGAAGCTCCATCTCACATACTCTGGGCATCTTGCTGTGAGGAACCAGTCCTAGGAGAAGGTTGGGAGGCTGAGAAGTACACCACAGGTGAGGAAGACCCTGGATGAGATGAATTGACACAGGGACTGGGATAGTATGGGCAGTTGTATCGGAGACTGTGAGATGGGCTCAGTACAGCACTGGTTTCAAAGCTACCATGTTGCCTATTGTCACTATGAGTCTTAGGCAACTCGAAGACATATAACAACAGGAACAAAATGCCACAGAAAAAGAAACGGAATAATTTGGCAGTTGAGAACTATAGCCTTTAGTGATAGAAATGGCACCAGAGATTATTCCTGATAAAATTTTGTAAGACATAATCAAGGCACTTCTTAACTCAAATGCTATTGCATGGGAGAAAGCTGACAGTTGCTTCCCATTAAAAATTATAACCTCAAAAAATCCACTGGAGGGAGCTCTAGTGGCCTATTGGCAAGAAGCTGCACTGCAATTCCAGAGGCGTGCTTTTCGAATCCACCAGATGCTCTGCTGGAGAAGGAGGGACACTCCTCCTGTACCTGTCAGATCCAATTTGATGGTGTGTACACACACACACACACACACACACACACACACACACACAATATTTTAAAAAATCCACTGGAGATTGAGTCAGAACTGACTTGACGGCAGTAAGTGAGTGGCTTGTTCAATCCAAATAGACCTTTAAAAATAATATACATATAGAGATTATGCATTGGGCCCAGGCTGGATGAAATACACAAAATTAAGTTGATTACATATCTTTAAAGAGATGTGGACAAGCTCATAGACAGAACAAGGCAGGCTGACCATCAGTTTGCACATATGGACGTTTATATGAAACTGAAGGGAATAAATTGAGAGCTAAGTTATGGCCTTGACTATTTTCCATCTGAATCTAGAGACCCAAAGAACCAGTGTCATGCATAGGACGCTGATGAGGGACGGCAACTTGTGGATTAATGATCTAAGATATCGTACATGGAGAAAGTAGAGGGTCATTTAAAAACCAGGAAGGAAATGAAACACCCAAATGGATGTCGGTACACACTCTGAAGCTTGCTTTGGAAATCAGAAAAGTGGAAGTGAAAAGAAGAACTGCTGAAGGAAAATCTGAAATGACTCTAAAGGATTTGAGAAACTAAGGGCGAGATTTTATAGCAAAATGTACAGAGACATGGAGCTTAAAAACCAAAAGAGAAAGGCACGCTTGACAGTTCTCAGAGTGAAGGAAAGGAAAGAAATTTTGCTCCCCAAATTGCAATAGTTAGGGATTCAGTTGCCAAAATATTGAATTACCCAGGAGGTATTTAAAGAAGATAGACAAAATCCAGAGAAAATACAACAAAAGAGAATTGGTTAACATTCATCCATTTCAGGAAGTAACATATGCTCAAGAGTCTGTGTAATTGAAAGAAGAAGTTCAAGAGGCAGTGAAGGCATGATGAAAAAGAAAGACTCCAGGGACTGATAGAATCCCAACTGAGATGTTTCAGCAAACATATACAAGGCTGGGAGTACTCCCATGTCTGTGCCAAGAAATCTGGCAGACCTGGCGCCCAATTCAAATAAAGGTTATCCCACAGGATGCACGCATTAGCAAATAGTATCATTAATACTGCACAAAAATAAACCCTGCTTAGGTTTTTATTAAAAATGGCAAGAGCAGGGCATTGATGTGAGACTGCTAGTTGTTAATTTGGATTCAGAGGAGGACATGGAAGAGGAGGTATAATTGCTGATATTATTAGGAGGTGCCGGTCCCTAGAGAAGGACTTCATGCCTAGTAGAAGGTCAGTGAAAAAGAAATCCACAAGATGATGGCCTGTCCCAGGGGCTCTATCAGTGACTCAAGCCCAGCAATCATAAGGACACTGCAGTTCTAGGCAGATTTTGCTCTAATGTCCACCGTCTATGACTTGATGGCACTTAACAACAATAACAATGACAACATAGAGCTCCGTTGGCCTAGTGGACAGAAAGTTACACTACCAAGCTCAAGGAGGGTGATTTTAGTCTGCGGTGCTCAGGCCTGGTTTAAGTTGTTTTTGTCAAACATTCTTCTACATGGTATGACATCGGTCTGTCCATTTGCTGTACAGAGGTAACTTGTGGTTGCTGTGATGCTAAAACTGTGACACTGATGTGCCAAATGCAAGAATGGTTACCCAGGGCGGTTAGAGTTTGGTGGAGCTTCTCGATTAAAACAAGCTAAGAAGCAGGAGTGGCATCCACTTCCAAAATGGCTTGCCCCCAGAAACTCTATGAACAGTGCTCAGGTCTTTCGTTCATAGGGTCGCTATGAGTCGTCTAAGACTTGACAGCACTTAACAACAACAGTTTCCATTGTGTCACCATGAGTTAGATCTGATTCAACCTCAAGCAGCCACAACAATTCATATCGTGTAGCATTGTGCCTCAGTGTTTAGGTGAAACCGAGATAAATGTGCACCTTCATTTACTCAATAGCTGTTTTAGTCAAAGCTCTTTCAAATGATATTTTTATGTATTTAAATCACATTTAAATGCACCTAAGAAACTGCCAAAAAATTTCAGTGCTAGATCGCAAATGAATACCCACTTAATATTACAAGTAAAAATTTAGCATACAAGATTAAGAACAAATAATTTGTGGCTATATTGGTACAAAAAAGATTGGCTATATCCATTCTGTAAGTTATTTTAAGTCCAGAAAATCTTGATGCTTAGCATTTTGTGAGGAACTGAATCATTGAGCTTTGAGTGATTACGTATTTACTCGATTTAAATTTTATCTACCTGACAGCCCCACTAGGCACTATTGGAATTAGAGTAGGTATTTCCCCCTTCTGCTCAGCTTTAACAGCTGAGACCTAATCTAGGCTCCCTGGATCGGATGCCGGATGATAGGTAAGCTTCTCTGTACAGATGTTGTCAATTTGTGTCATAGGGGTCACCCTTTATTCAAAGGATCATAGACGTCTGTGATCTCCAATAAGATAAGAGCCACTAGATGGGAGGTTCCTAAGTGAAGACGGTGAGTGTCTAGACTTCTTAGATATGTATTCTTGGAACAGTGAGATGGCACTGGGAGGAGCAGGTTTACAAGGAGCTTGACTTAGGAAGATTAAAGACTAGTAGAAATGAAACAAAAGAGATCTGTTAGTGTAGTGGTTTAGTGCTCTTCTGCTAAATAAAGGTCAGCACTTCAAACCCACCAGTTGCTCCATGAGAGGAAGATCGCTTAGTCAGCTTCTGTACAGATTTCCACTTGGAAACCATATGGGTCAGTTCTGCCTTATCTTGTAAAGTTGCTATGATTTAAAATTGATCTGACAACGGTGGTTTTGTTTTAGAAATGAAACTGCTTAGGCACTTTATACTGCACAGTGGGCCGAAAATGATTCCGGAATAAGTGAGTGAACAGATCTCTAAACTTCAAAGGGGATTTTTGCCTGTTTCAAAGGGAGGAGTTGATGTCCTTAAAGTTAGGACAGTCTCTTGGTTTATTAAAGAACAGACTATTTTTAGGAGGCTTTACTGGTGTTAACTATGGGTTGCTGAGATCAGAGTTCCCTCAACAGGACAAATTCTTCCAGCTACCTCATCCACATAGTAGTTATTGTTTGTAGACTGTTGTACTTTATTTTAGAGCAAATGCTTTGAAGCAGCAACAAAGCAGACTAGCTTGTTTGTCTTCGTGTGTGAGTGCTGATTGAAAAGAAATGAAATCGGGGCTGAGGTCAGAATATTTTTTAGGATCAGAAGACATGGGTATAAATTCATACTTGTGAGTAAATGGATGTGAGTTTTCGTGCTGTGGCCTATATTTAATGGATTTACTTCCCTCTGTGAACATAAAATGAAAAACAGTGGCAAGACTTAAATTGTGTTTGTGTTTATACAAGTTAAAAATTTCATGCGTGCTTCATTTTTACATGAAAAAACAGTGGTGTCACAATTGATTTGAGGTAGAATTAAATATGTGCTTATTACACAGCTCTAAAGGCAATGTTTAATAGTCATACTGTGATGAACTAGTATTTGGGACTAGATCCTGTAAAGTCACTGTGTTTGCTTAGTAGGTGTTTATTTGGAAGGTTCATAAACCATTTTTTCTGGAAGGAAAACCACTTCATTAAAATGGCATATTTAGAACAATAAATGTACTTAGAGTTAAAATACTTCTAACAGTGTTTCAATTACACACTTGAAGAAGTTTGCACACCAGGTAGACAGTGATGATCAAGGCTGACACAGAGTATAATCTTTCACACATAAATATTATGGGGTTTTGGGATTTTCCAAAGTAAGGATACCTTTTACCTCTTATGAATGCTCAAATATCCTAAAACTGGTCTTAACAGGGTTCATGTTTTACCTGATTATTGTTTCTTATGTATCTTTTCACCATGAGCATTGTACTTTTGGAACTCATGTTCTAAATCGAGAGATTTTCTTCTTTTAGCTTGAGAGTGTACCATTTGTTTCTGAGCAAATAACGAGATCATAAAGAGCAATGCTAATGATAAATTGGATCAGTACTTTGAATCCCAAGGATCCTCGAGGATCATTCATTATTGGAAAAGTTTTGAATCTTTAGTAGCAAGAGACTCGTGGATTTTTTCCAGTTAAAATTATGTATTAATGTTTAACTTGTTTTGTAAACTACCATCCAAGTTTGATGTTTGTACATTTCAAATGTTATATGTTTCCAATGTTATAGATTGACAGTATCTTCTGCTATCTCTTCAGTGTTGTAAATCTAGTGGGTTTTTCTTTTTCTCTTAGGAATTGATGCCAATATAAAGGATAGTTTAGGAAGAACTGTCTTAGACATTCTGAAAGAACATCCATCTCAGAAATCTCTTCAGATCGCAACTCTGTTACAAGGTAAAAACTATAGAATGATGGATGAGTTTTCCTTAAAGTAAATATTAAATTAAAACAGTATTACCATTTGGTTGTAGGTCTGAATATTTACTTGCTAATACAGATAGGCTTTTTAACTATATGACAGTACCTTTTAATGTTTTATTTCTGATTTTAAACTAAATATTTTTAAAAAGCTGATTTTCACTCAATATTTGAAAGTCATTTTTTTCTTGCTAAAACCAATGCAGTAAATATGCAATGATAAGCTTGCCTTTATGTTAACATATGTTACTATAACATGGTAACAATCATGTGTGTTATCTTAAATTTGAATAATATTTTGTTTTTAGGAATTTGAAATTATTGCGTCTAATTTATATAACAAATCTTGGTGGTCCATTTGTCAGGTGTTATTGCTCTACTTTTTTCACATGTGAAAACTGAAGATTCAAGATTCTAGTAATTTATTCAAATTGATGATATCCATCATTCAAAAAGGCACAAATGCTAAATAAGCAATAACAACAAACATTGTATTTCACTGAAAGGATGCTTTCCCCCACTTCCCTAACATCCTAACCAAGCTGTTGTTCTTATGTACTGTTGAATTGGAACCAACTTTAGCTGACCCTCCAGTGAGTTTTCAAAGTCAGTAAATCACATCGGAGGAGATTGCCCACTTTTCTTCCTTAGAGCAGCTAGTGCATTTGAATTGAGAGCCTTTGAATTGATGTTCTTGTGTGCTGTTGAACTGACCAATAGCTGACCAACGAGTGGGTTTTCAGAGGCATTAAATCTCACAGAAGAAGATTACCCACCCTCCATCCGCAGAGCAGCTGGTGGATTCGAACCACATGTGTTTGGGATTTCTGCAGAACTCCTTACCACTAGGGCACCGGCTCAATTCCTTATCAGTTGGCTACCAGTGGTTAATCAAGTAGTATGAGGTTATTCAATCTTGCGAGCTTTTGTTTTGGGAAAAGATCATATAAGTATTTTTGTTTTAGTTGCAGTTAGTATATATTGAGATGCTTTGGCAGCCATCTAGGTAATACTTTTTTATATTAAAAATTGTCAAATACTACGTAAGACCATTATTTTAAAAGTAGAAGGATAACTAGTAAGAGGTACATAAATGTCCAAGGAGAGAAGGGGTGGGGGTGGGGCAAAGGGGACAGGGGCTGGCAAGGAGGAGAAAGATATGAAGTGGTTGAGTTTGTTGGGCAGACGAAGGGGGTGAAGGAATTAGGAAAGATTAAGTGGAATCTGAAAAAGACATGGTAACAGTGATAGAAGGAGAGTTGATACCTTTGAGCAGTGGTGCTGGAGAATAGTATTGAACATACCATGGACTACTAGGAGAACAAACGAGTTCATCCTGGAGAGGATGAAGCCAGGCTGCTTCTTAGAGGCAAGGGTTCTGAAGCTCCACCTGACATACTTTGGACATATTGCAAGGAGGGATCAGTCGTTGGAGAGGGACATCATGCTTGGGAGGGTGGAGGGACGGCACACGAGAGGAAGACCCTTGATGAGATGGATTGATTCATTGACTGGGGTAATGAGGATAGGTGTGTTCGAGACCATAAGATTGGCAAGGGATAGAGCAGGGGTCAGGGCTGTTGTACATAGGATTGCTGTGAGTCTCAGGCGACTTGATGGCACATAATAGCAACAACAATAATGAGGATAGCTCAATGGTGATTCATTTAATAAGACACAATGTACTGGAATGATTGTATGAAGCACAATGTGAATGAAGGAATATGTGAAACAATGTATCTGAGTGAAAAAAAACCTTCATGCAAAAAAGGAACAATAACATTCTAAAAAATGATTTTTATCCCCATTGTATCACAAACTTTATGGACAATTTCGTTCTTGTTCACTGGCGTTCTGCTCTGTCAGTTAGACCTGCCAAGTAGCATGTTTTCTTAAAGATCTATTGTGATTTTTTCCCTTTCCAGTTGATTAGCTCCTGCCCTGGTTAGCAGTGTTCATCCCCAAAGATTCTTTCAGATTGGCACAGATGTAATCAAGGAGAAAGGCAGGAGACATTTCACCAGGGATTGGCTGGGAAGCTGAATACAGCTTTATTCTGTAGGGAGAGGGATTAAAACCAAGTTAGGCAGGAGACGTAGATAAAGGAATAAACACAGTTTAAGAGGGCAAAGTGGTAGATGCAGTACAAGAGATCATTACAGAACCTGTTAGCTAAATTCAAGCTCCTATAATTTCTTATTGATAAGGAAGTTGATGGTATGTTAAGTACATGCAGAGATGAATAAAATGAAATAAAAGCATGACTTATTTTAAAAAAATCAAGAAAGGATAGTTGATTCTGGCATGCTGTAGAAAAGGAAAAAGATAGATAAAGAGTGGGAGACACAGACCACCAGCAAACCAGATAAATCTGAAAACTCCTCAAAAGCATGACTTTTAATATTAAAGACACTTAAATGAGTCAACCAAAAAAGTGCTCATACTGTAATATATTGTAAACGTTTGTCCCTATCAGTTAATGTATAGAAAGGTTGCAGAAAACAGTATTGTGCATGTCTTTTGGGATAGGTAAAATCTTTTTCACTCATAAGAAAGGGACATAAGAATATTTTTTTAAACACACTCTATGTGCTTAGCTTAGATGAAAATACTACGTAAGACTAAATATGGTCTCTGAAATTGGGAAGATTTCATATGGCTTGCCATTTAGTGATAGAGTATATAGGACATCCTTGAAGTTTAAAAATTATTGGAAATTTCCAGAATGTGAGCACATTATATTTCTTAAATTCTTGAAGTCACTTTCAAATCAGTTACATTTCAAATCTTTCAAGAAGTTGGTTTCAGAAATAAAGTCATTTTATAATAGAAAAAATTATTGTTTGCATCCTAGAGGAGAAATTCAGCTTATATGATGGCTTATATATAATAATTTATGACAGAAAAACTTTAAGGAAAGAAAGTTTTTTTTGTTATGTGTCATCGAGTCACTTGTGACTCATAGCGACCCTATATACAACAGTCCCAAACCCTGCTCTGTCCTGTGCCAATCGCACTGCTTCTGACACACCCATCCTGATTACCCCAGTGACTGAAGCAATCTACCTAATAGAGGATCTTCCCCTCCTGCGCTGTCCCTCTACCCTAACAAGCATGATGTCCTTCTCCAAGGACCTGTCCCTCCTTACAACATGTCCAAACTATGTCAGACGAAGCCCCAGAATCCTTGTCTCCAAGAAGCAGCCTGGTTTAATCCTCTCCAAGATGAATCTGTTTTCCTGGCAGTCCATGGTACATTCAGTACTCTTCTCCAGCACCACAGCTCAAAGGCATGAATTTTTCTTCTATTCTCCCTAGTCATTGTCCAACTGTCTGATACGTAACAAGTGATTGCAAAGACCATAGCCTGTATCAGATGCACCTTTGTCTCCAGAGTGACACTATTTCCCTTCAGTACTTTGGAGAGGTCCCTAACAGCAGACTTTCCCATCACAATATGTTTTTTTATTTCCTGGCTACTGGTGCCAAGAGTGTTGACTGTGGAGCCAAGCAAACTAAAGCTCTGAACAATCTCAATCTCTTCACCATCCATCCTGATTCTGCCAATTGGTCCAGTGGTGAGAATCTTTGTCTTCTTGACATTGGGCCTCAATCCATATTGGAGGCTGCAGTCCTTGACCCTCTGCAGCAACCACTTCAGGTCCTCCTCAGTTTCAGCGAGCAGGGTTGTGTCATCTGCATAATGCAGATTGTTGATAGATCTTCCATCAATCCCGACACCACACTTCTCCTCATAGAGCCCAGACTCCCGGATAATCTGTTCTGCATGTTGTTGTTGTTGTTGTTTGCCATCGAGTCATTTGCGACTCATAGCGACCCTATGTACAACAGCCCTAAACCCTGCTTTATCCTGTGCCAATTGCACTGCCTCTGACACACCCATCCCGATTACCCCAGTCACTGAACCAATCCATTTTATAGAGGGTCTTCCCCTCTTCTGCCGTCCCTCCACCCTCCCAAGCATGATGTCCCTCTCCAAGGACATGTCCCTCCTTGAAACTATGTCAGACGAAGCCCCAGAATCCTTGCCTCTAAGGAGTTGCTTGCTTTAATCCTCTCCAGGATGAATCTGTTTGTTTTCTTGGCAGTCCATGGAACATTCAGTACTCTTCTCCAGCACCACAGCTCAAAGGCATCAATTCTCCTTCTATCCTCCCTAGTCATTGTCCAACTCTCTGACGCATAACAAGTGATTGCAAAGACCATGGCCTGTATCAGGCGCTCCTTAGTCTCCAGAGAGAGACACCGTTGCTCTTGAGTACTTTAGAGAGGTCCCTAACAGCAGACTTTCCCATCGCAATACGTTCTGTTCTGCCTACAGGTTGAAAAGGTATGGAGGTAGGACACATCCCTGGTGTACACCTTTCCCAATTTCAACCATACTGTAGATTATCTTCATTTCTGAGTAGAATTTGCCTAATAGAATTTTCCTTTGAAAAATGCAGTTTGGATGGTGTGCAGACATAATTGGTAGGCATGAGAGCAGAAGTTTTTAGCCATATTTTGAAGACATTTTCTTTTTAAATAAGGCAGTACAACTAAAAGATCCTTATAGGAGGAACCTTTTAGATGGAGGCTACAACCAAGCATTTATGGCCTGAATACTTTTGCCAGAAAACAGATATATTTTCTTTTATTACACCTTTTCTTTTGGCTAACACTGTTTCTATACAAATTGAGTTCATTGTTAGAATTATGAAAGTCTAGAATTTCAGCTGATTTAAAATTTTTAGAGTCTTAAAATATTATAAACTCATGATTATTATTGAATAGAACGGACTCATAGCTAACCCTCCTTTGAGTTTTCAAGGCTACACATCACAAAAGAGGTAATTTCCATTGTTCTTCCAAGGAGCCAGTGGTAGATTCAAACTGCTGGAGAAGTTTGACCTTTGGCTTAGCAACACAATGCCATAAGGATTATGCCAGTGGAGCTTCCTTTAAAAAATATGGTCTTTAATTTTGCTTTATTTCCAGATTTTACATGGGGCATCTCTCTATACTTAACCATGCTCTGCATTCCTTTGTATTCTAGGACTTTATGTCTAAATATCAATTGACATTTGTCCTTGCATTTAGATAACATTTTCCTATGACAGAGTTTAGAGAAAATGAGATATCTTCTTATACCAAGTTCTCTAAAGAAGGGAACACTGGACATGGGGGCACAGGGCCATGAATATCTCTCTGAAAGGACCAGAGGGAATGAGAATAGCTCAGCCTTCACTGCCCCAGAGTAAAAAGCAATTAAGAGCCTTTTGCCCAGCCCTGTGGTGCCTCTAGAGCCATATCAACAGAAAAAGGTTTATTTGTTGTTGACTCACAGACTCACGGTTATGGTACCTACAATGAGATTTATATAGGGAAGCGAGTGGAAGAGGCAAAGACTATTTCACAGTATAAGTTCAAGTGGGAAGCAAGTGGAAGAATCAAAGAGTATCTCATAGTACTAGTTCAGCAAGCTCTGGTTTCAATTCAGCTGTCAACTCCATATCATCCAGTGAGGTTTACCTCAGAGTATTTAAAACCAAATCCTCCAGCAAAGTTTACCTCAGAGCAGTTATAAATCAGATTCTCCTGCAAACATCTGGCAAGAATAGCCAAAGCTTTAACTGTGGCCAGCAAAAGCCAGAAGCCTCAGGTCACACCTGGCTGTTGTTTGTCCACAATGCCATAGTCTCTTTACCACCAAGGCCTCTCTCTCACCAAGTTCTTGCTGTCACAAGACTTGTTTGCCTAAAAGCTTGT